TGATTGGATGATCTGTCTGATGCTGAATCCCTTTTTGATTGACAGTGAAATGAGAGAATCGGTGATCTTTTGGTGTAAACATTCCTGGGAACATTTTTTAGTTTCATTCTGTTCTGAGTTGAACCAGAGACTTTCCTAATCCTCTTAGCGGCATTTTCTTTGTTAAAAATGACACGTGACAAATCAAGCCTCTATTTCTGGTGTTTTTTGTTGCTGCTTGTGTTTGGAGACTCTTTCTGACTTCTATCGCAGTTTCTGTCCGGCGGAGGCTGCTAAGCCCCTTCACTGTCACAAAACACTCACAGGCAGACACACTTCACACTCTCAGACTGAAGAAGTCTCTTGGAGGAGAGACGAAACGTTTCATTAGAGAAGAACCCGTCCAGAAGACCTATACAATTTTTTTTCTTTTTGATTTTTTACCTGGATTACTGAGATGCATCAGGACATTTTAAATCTGGAGTCTTCCTGTAGGTCAGTTTTATTCTTTTGTTTTCAAAGCATAATTCTTTACACATTACATTTTGATTGACCACACACTGTGCCCAGCATCCCAGTGTCCCTAAAAAAATCAAAAACAAAAAGAAGAAACTAAACAGGTGAATGACAGAGCTATATAAAACGTCAGGGCTAAACCATTTTCTACAACAGATGAACAATATCTGAAAACTGTGTCCTTAAGAAGAGGGCAAAATGTGACAAAGAGCTGACACAGGACCTGGGAGATGCATTATCCTTCTGTTGATTGGTCTGAATGCCAAGTTTTGGGCTAATGGTTCTTTTGGGAATCAACGTGTTGGAATAAAATACTGTTTTATGCCTGTCAAAGTAAGTTATCATTGGCATTTTTCCTCTGTGCAGCTGAAGAAATTATAACAAACTGAGAGGTATTTTGTTACAAAATCCCTTAAACGTATGAAAAATTAGGGCTGGCTCAGTACTTTTCTTGATTTAGTTCTGGTTCACTTCAGTTATCTATCAGTCAAAGTCAGTGCAGTAATGTATACCATTTCTTACTAAAAATATATCCAAGAACTGAAAACAGTTCTACAGCCAAGGAAGCCAACACAGTCCCATGTCTTCCTGCACAGGGCTGTGGGCATCATGGTGAGACAAAAAACCTTCTGTAGCTAAAAGCTTCAGCCTCCAGCAGAGGCTGACTCACAGGGTGACTTTCTGAACTGACCATTTGGGAGCTGAGAGGACAAAGGAGACAGAAAAACAAAAGAACCCATCGGAGGATCCCTTCTATTTGTTAAGAAACCAAAAGAAGAAGAAAAAATATAAATCAGTAATTCCAGGATCAACAGCACAGACACGTGGTGTCGACCCAGCTACATTTTCAGAGCGCTCTCTCGCTTTCTCTCCTTCTTGGCCGTCCACCAAAAACACCAGCAACCCATTAACCCTGGTCTTTTTACAGGCACCTAAAGTTTCCAGCAGATGCTGTGAGGTCTGATAACCCTGTCTTGTTGGGGCCACAGCTCCATTTAACAGTGGCTACAAGCAACCTAATGACCAGATCACTGCAGGCCTCTTTTTTCCAAGCAGAAACTTTCTAATCACCCAGTTCAAACAGTGCGATCCACCCTTCAGCAGTCTGAATGTGCACGGGGTTTAAGTAAGAGTTTCAACTTTTTTTCACTGATTAAAGGAAATGATGCAGCACAGATCAGCTGGGGACAAATAATGACTGTAGGCAATGGAAGAAAGTCTGACTAAAAAAGTTTATCTGCAAATGGTAATCTTGCATTTTGCTTTTTCCTACTGCAGACATTTTTACAGAATCGTGCTCTGAGGCGTACAAGATATGTTATCCTGTCACCAAAGTGATTTGTGTGTAAAGCCCCTCTTAAAACCCACACTCTGATTTTAAAAACGTGTAAGCCTATGAAACTCACTTCTAATAACAATATAATTTATGGAGGTTTTCATAACCCATGAATCTCACTGCAATTTGTTTTTCACTTATTTATTTATTTATTTTTTAAATAAAGGCTTCAAAGGGCTTATATGAGACATATCCTGCTTTTAAATCCTTCCTTTTCACATTTAAATCATTCAGGAACTGTAATGCTTTGGTCTGAATTCCTCATCGTAACTCAACAAGCTCCGCCCCTTTTTGAGGTGTGTCTCAGATCAACTCATTCTGATGCTGTTTCTTTAAATCCAAACGAGGCGCTTCATACCCCGCCCCCCCCAAACTTTAAGAGAGAGGTTTATTACTATAGAGCGTTGCAGAGGTTTTATTTTATTTTTTGTTTGTTTGTTTGTTTGTTTGTTTTTTGGCATCCAGCCTTACATGTTGGAGCCAGAGTCTGACCCAGAACCAGAGTCTGACCCAGAACCAGAGTCTGACCCAGAGCCAGAGTCTGACCCAGAGCCAGAGGAGATAGAAGATGACTAAATA